GCCCAAGATCCCAAGAGGAGAATGGAGGAGAAGGGATTGCGGCGTGACCATCCCCCCTGGGGGGTGATTTCTCGCTTTCTGTCTCTCTGTCTCCCTCTGTCTGTCTGGCGAGCGCATGCGCCCTACAGTAAAAATCTCTCCAAAAAAAAAAATATATATATATATATTCATGGAGTATGATTTTCTGGGAACGAGACAAAAAGAAATCTTCGGGGGGATAGCATTTCACTAAGTGGGGTTCGTCCACCGGTGGTCATCTGGAAAGCTCTGCCCACTCTCCTGCTGCTCCGAACCGGCTGAGCATGAGCAGGCCCCGGCCAGGGCTTGGCCAAGGGCCTCCGTCAGCCTCCGCCCAGCCCTTGCCTCCCCTTTCTGTGGTTCTGGGTCTGCTGCTCACTCTCCGTCTGTGTCCCCTCAGCTCCTTCGCCACCTCTCTCTCTGGTCTCTCCTCTCACCAGATAAGGAGCAGGGGCAGGCCTCCCTCCTGAGGCCCGACAGGGTGGGAGCCTGTCCTCAGGGCCCCGCCCCAGCCTACCTCCTCGTAAGCCTACCCTGAGCCAGGGTCCTAGGCTCTGACCCGGGCTCTCACCGCCAGGTGAGAACACCCCTGCCCCGTACCACCTCAGGCCTCGTTCAGTCTCTGGGTTCCACACACATCTGGGCCCAGGCCTGGCCATCCCAGGCCCCCTCCTTTGTCCTTATTGATGCCATAGCCAGGCTGGGAGGCTTGCCCAGCCCATTTACAGGTCTGGAAACTGAGGCTCAGAGATGCAGCTCAGAGATGCAGACAGACCCGATGCAGGCAGCAAACCCAGAGCCGACCGGGGCTGCCTTCTCCAGGGTTCAGCCTCCTGGGACCCCTCTGTCACCGCCCAGTCCCCTTGCCCTGCCCGTGGCACTGAGTGCAGCGTGGGGGCGTGCCAGCAGTCACACTGGTGCACGCGGCCTCCTCTCGTGGCCAGGACTGGGGAGCGCATCGCATCGGTGACTAGTGGGACCCCGGGCAGACAGTGCAGTTTATTGGCGTGAGTAGGAGGCGACCTCCCGGATAGAACGGCCAGCCGGGCGCTGCATCCATCTCTCAGTCATCAACAGCAGCCTGGAACCATTCATTGTCCCCGGGAAAGTAATGAATGTGATCATGTGTTTACAACGAGAGCCCATCTGTCAGGGCTGGCTCCCCAGCTGCACCCTGCAGAGGGACACACGGCCCCAGGGCTGCCGGCAGAAAGCAATCGGTGGGGTGGGGCTCCTTTGTCCGCCTGAGGCAGGACCCCACCCCCAAGACCCTGACCTGCAGGACATCTAAGGGTGAGCCGGCACAGCACAGACCTGGCTCTGCCAGGTGCTGACGTGGCTGCTGCTGATGCACCCCATCTGGATGGGGACCAAGGATGGGGCTCAGACAGGGTGACACCTCATGGTCTGCTCTGTCCATGTCTCTGTGATGACTGTACCACTGCCCTGCTCTGGGACCCACCCTCAGGACACAGGCCGCCCACCCACCTGGGACAAAGCGGGAAGACCAGCTCAGCTGCCAACAATGGACCCAGTGTGCCTGAACCTGGGGACACAATGCAGAAGTGGCAGTCAGCCCAGGGCAGGAGTCAGGGAGGGCTTCCTGGAGGAGACAGTGCAAAGACTGAATGGAGACCCAGCAGGAGTTTACCAGGCGAGGAAGCAGGATCCAGCACAAATCTGTGCACAAAGGCCATGAGTTGAGAGGAAGTGAGCTGACAAAGATTCGTCGTGGCCGGGCCCAAAGGTGGCCATCCCTACTCCCCAACTATGCCCCCTCGAAAGGGATTTGCTTCTCCAAAATGCATCAAATAGGGCTGACAGAGGCTGGTTGCAGGCACAGCTCTCCAGCCTGACAGCCCGAGTTTAACTCTGTGTCCTGGTACATGTTCGCTGTGCGACCTGAGGGAGGTTACCCCACCTCTCTGTAGTTCAGTTTCTCCCCCGTGAGAGGGCTAACCCTCCACGGGGTAGTGGTGAGGATTCAGACATCAGTCCTGTGAGACGCAACAACTCTCGGTGCCGCGGACACTCAGCGTTACGCTCACAGCGCTGGTCCTTCCTGGGCACGGGGGCATCGCGTGGGAGGGCCTGCACTGCTCGGTCAGGGCAGTTGTGTATCCAGTCACAGCAGGAAAGCCAACGCCGCCGCCGAGCCTGGGCTGTGGGTGCCCCTGAAGCTGCGTCTCTGAAAGCACACCAGGGCCCGACGCGGGATGGCGAGCCTTTCCTGGGCTCTCTCTGTGCTGGAGCTTGGGTTGGAACAGTCTCCGTATCACCGCCCTGAGGAGCCCCGGGCACAGCTGGGAGGCAGCCTGTGGGGGCTAATGAGGCTCGCAAGGAGCAGCTCGCATGACCCGATGCCCAGACCCTGCCATGCGCCCTTACTTGGCCAAGTCATCCTTCATCTGACAAGGAGTGAGAGACACAAGGGGAGAGCACCCTGGCTTACCCAGGCGGGCTCTAAATCCAAGGACGGGGGTCATTGTAGGAGAAAGTGGAGCTGCCCGCAGAGAGAAGGCCATGGGTAGATGGCAGGGGTTGCAGCCCCAGCCCTGGAAGGCCTGGAGTCCTCAGAAACTGAAGGCAGCAGGAGGATCGGTCCTCTGGGCCCACAGAGGATGCCAGCCCTGCCGACACCTTGGCTTGGACAGACCTCCGAGAGAATACACTTCTGCTGTTCTAAGCAGCCCGGCTGATGGTGACTTTTACTGCGGCCACAGGGCGTGAGCGCGGCCATGAAGGGGGCAGCTGTGTGGAGCCACGCTGATATTCAGTCGGGCCTGCCCGGGGCGATGGCCTGTATCTGCCATCCTCCCTGGGCTGCCAGGGGCCACATTATCGCCCAGTGCCTTCGTGGGGACCCAGTTGACAGAGGAAACAGCAGTTACTGACAGAGGAAACCCTCCCTGGCCAGATCAGTCTGGGGACATGGAGGAGGCACCCTGACCCAGCTCTAGGCAGGGAAGAAGTCCTCATGGGGGATGTTCTGGGCCCTTCTACCTGTTCTTGGGTTTTATGAACTAGAAAATACAAAGTCGTTCAGTGTTCCCCTGCCTGCCTGGGTCTCCCTGTATCTCTAGACCACACCGACAGAGGACACGCACCATCATTTGGTGTGTTTGTGGCTGCTCCAAGGCCAGCCCGGAGGGACTCATCAAACAGTGTGCAGCCACCCCCCACACCCCCCCACACACACGTATGTGTCTCCTCTACAGATGTGCACACGCTCACCCTGTCCTCGGGACAGACACACTCACACGTTCGCTCACACACACCCGTGTCCCCTACACAGACACACACTCACACACTTACGCATGCACACCCCCGTCGTCCAGCTCCAGACAGCTCCAGTGTCCTGTGGATGGAGGGGTCTGGAGGGAGTTCCAGGCTCCTGTGACGAGGGGCTGTGGGTCCCTGCAGGGCCCAGGCTTGGAGCCATTTCTCACTAGGAATCTGGACTCCAGGCCAGGGACCCCATTCCTGGCCATCAAGTCTAGAGGGTGAGACATGGGTGAGAGAAGGGGCTGTCACTCCCAGGACCATCCTGAAGCTGCCTCTGGGGAGGTGAGGAGGACCCCCAGACAGCAGCATCCACGCAGCCCATGCAGCCACGGCACTGTGCGGGTGTAGCTCTGCCCGACTCACGGAACGTCCTTGAGAAGCCAGGAGGCGAGTGCAGTGCGGCCACTGGGCTTCTAGCTCCGCCTGCCCCTATCAGTAAGACCGGGCAAGTCCCAGGGAAGAGCCTCCCCTCCCATGTCCATGCCTCACACCCATCCAATGGAGTCGGCCTCCATCTCTGAGCGTCTAGCTCGTAAGGATAACGACAATCCCACCTCTACCTGTGGGAGGCAGAATAATGCCCCCTGCCCCCAAAGGTCCACGTCTTCATCGCTGGAGCCTATGAACATGGCCTTCCTGGCCACAGGGGACTTTCCGTATATAATCAAGGACCTTAAGAGAGAAGTTGGCCTGGATGGCCTGGGTGGGCCCAGGGTGTTCACAGAGGCCTTCAAGGTAGAAGGAAGAGGCAGAAGAGGCGAGGCAGAAGGAGACGTGCATGCGCAAGGTAGACAAAGGCAGACCAGGATGCCGGCGGCCTGTAGGAGGCGGGAAGCAGGGACACAGATTCTGCCCTCGGGCCTCCAGCGGGAGCCAGCCCTGGCTGTACCTTGATTTCTAGCCAGTGAGACACAGGTCCGAATTCTACAGAACTACGAGACCACATTGTGCTGTTTGAAGGCACTGAGTTGGGGATCGTTTATTACAGCAGCCGCAGGAAGTCGGACGGGTTGTGACCCCTTTAAGGGAGGTGTTGCTGTGCCCAGTGCCAAAAAATGTGGAGTTGGTTTGGGATTCATAGAGGCTGAAAGAATTTTGAAGAGCATGATAGGAGCAGCCTTGACTGCCTTGGACAAACTGCCAGCAGAAGAGTGGGCATTAGAGGACCGCAGGTGAGGAGTCGGAAGGAAACGAGGAGCACGCCATTGCCAAGTGGCAGGCGCGACCTGTGTTACGGAGTGGCAGACAGCCCATCTGAACTGCGTCCTGCGCGTCCGTGGGACACAGAGCTCTCACTGCCAGACTGGGCGATTTACAAAGTGCAGGGAGTGGGGCCTGGTTTCTCCTTGCTGCTCGTAGAAAAAGGAGGCAGGAAAGAAATAGAGGAAGAAACTGTTCAACCAGAAGGACCCCGAGTCCGTCGATGGGAAATCCCCAGCCTGGGCAGGTTACAAGACGCTCCCGTGAAGAGCCCCACTGTGAAGACAGGAGTCTTTCTAGAAAAGAAAGCACCAGCGTGGCTGATGATCTTAGTGATCAGAAAGATCAAAGGGCCAGATATTCACTCATGCAATAAGCTCTTGGAAGAATCCGGCAAGTTATTCATGTCCCCTCTTAGTCATCTGAGCAGAAGCCAAAAATAGAGATGGAGTTACCCAGGGAGATCGGTGGAACGGCCTTTCATCCAATGGAGTGAACCCCTGCGACATCAACAGGAGACCTACAGGGTCCCCGAGAATGTTCTATTAGCAGAAGCACTGTCAGCTGAGACAAGAAACCGAGAGAGGCTAAACGGAAGGCGACAGCCAGATCGCCAACATTCCACAGGCCAAGCTCAGAACAGATCAGACTGGTCCACTGCGAACGTGTGCTCCCCTTCGTGAAAGAGAAGGGATGACCCAGGGGCCAGAGCTGCCAGCCAGGATTGTTCCTGAGCCTGGAACCCTGACGGAGACCTCTCAGCTGGATTTCAAAATTGCTTGACAGCAGTGAGTCCTATTTTCTCTCCGTCTGTCCATCTGGGGACTGGAATATCTACAACCATTATCCCGCACCCGTCCTAACATCGTATTTCGGAAGCGTTGTGTTTTGTTGTCTAGTTTCACAGGCCCACAGGTGGATTCTGCCTAGAGCTCACCCGTCTGCTTTAGACGAGGTAGATAACGAGATTGGGGACTTTTGAGCTGCTGAGGCTTAGACAAGATTTTTGACTCTGAATTAATGTTGTCATGAGATGAGATTGGGGGTGCCTTGGGATGGGGTGAATGCATTTCGCATGAAGGACTGAAGTGTATCCTTGAAGGAGACACATATCCCAGTGCCCCAAATCTCATCTGTACTTTCGGTTACATGGAAAGGGGCCAGACAGTCGCAGGTGGGATTGGACTGCTATGAGCAGGTAGGAAGACCTCAGGGTACCCATGGGCCAGTGTCTTCACTGGGGTTATTCAATGTGGAAGGGGGAGGCAGAAGAAACGGGTCAGAGAGAAGACACGAGCCCACAGAAGGGGGCCAGAGGGGTGCTGCTGCTGGCTTTGAGGATGAAGGAAAGGGGCCGGAAGCCAAAGAACACGGGCAGCCTCTCAACACTGGAAAAAGTAAGGCAGTGGGTTCTTCCCTGGAGCCTGGGGGAAGGATTGCAATTCCATCCACACTGGATATTAGCCCAGTGAGACCTGTCCCTTCCTCTGCCCTCCAGAACTGTAAGATGGTGAGTTTGTACTGCCCGAAGCCACTAAGTCTGTGGTACTCTGTTATTGCAGCCATGGGGACCCCACCCACCACCCACCACCCATTCTCCCACCCATTCCAGGTGGAGCACTGTGCGCCAAGTACTTGGCAGACCTGTGCTGTGAAGGTCGTCAAACTGACCTCCAGGGGCTGTAAGCATCTAACGAGTTGACATGTGTTAAACTCACTGCTTCCACATAAAAGGCACTTAGTAACTGTATTACGATTGTCATCATTATCATTTTTAGCTCTGGAGGTTTAGGTGGATTATATAATCTCCAACTCTTAGCTTCCCACGGCTCCTTGTGGGAAATGCATGCTGCAAATAGAGGGGTTGACACAGCTCTGGCTTCTGCCTGTTCATGCCTCGGTGGGTCCCAGAAATGTTGGCCTAAGCCCCTCACTCACCTCAGTGCAAAGGGACTTGTAGACAAAGGTCATGCCCAGGCAGGAACCAGATGAAGTGGCCGAGATTTGCTCATTTCTTATGTGGCCAGCTTCATGCCCATTCGCAGGTGTGTTTGGGTCTCTCCACGGGCCTCACAGGAAGCCTGAAGGAAGGGAGAACGACCAGGCCTGGACAACGAAGGCCAAACAGAGCCCTGTCCAGGCATGCTGGCTGAGCCTGGGCCCGCCGGCCATAACACTTGGCGTTTTCTGTGGGCACTGAGCTGACAGCATGCCCAGTGGAAAGCCCAGAGGTGATTCCACCGTCCAGGACCTGCAGGCCCAGTAGCACCAGAGGCACAGGAGACCCTGAACTCTGGGTCAGGGGCTCCAGGGCGGGGCGGTGACTCTATGCACAGGCATGTCAGAGGACCAGGGCTGTCTCACTGTCTGATGGCTGAAGTCGGGGCCTGGGACAGCTCAGTGCTACGAACTTCACTCAGGCTTCGGACCCAGGTCGAACCAGCTCCCAGCACAGGCCAGAGATGGCCCTCGCCTCTCCGGCTGCACGCTCCTCTAGGACGTGCCTCGGCGCGTGAGAGTGAGATGAGGCGTGAGCACGCAGCAGGTGCAGGCGCTGGCTGGGCGCTCGGGCGTCTGAGACTTCAGGCCGTGTTGTACGACCCTCCTTGTGCTTCGTCCCAGGTCAGAGGGGTGAAAGGAGTCTTCTTAGCAAACCAGAAGATCGATGGGAAGGTGACGACGCGCATCACCTACAACAAGGGCCGCGACTGGGATTACCTGAGGCCGCCCAGCGCGGACATGAACGGGAAGCCGACTGACTGTAAGCCTGTAAGTACACCTGCTCACGTCGGCACCTCCAGGTGGGCGAGGGGCATCAGGACAGGGCCCAGGGCAGAGGTGGGCGTGTCTGAGAAGGACCACCCGAGACACTAAAACCACTGTTAGTGCCAGCTCCCGAGGCGACGGTCAGGAAACTGCCGCTCGCAGAGGCATGAACGAGAGGGAAGACGGAAGCGTATCGCTTGGCCTGTGCATAAAATCACTGAGTAAGCCACTCCTGACAGCAGCCACTTACCCTCCGAGCTGCACCTGTGGTGGGCGAGCGGGGAGGGCTCGGTCCCACATCTGGGAGCCGCCTGATTCGCTTGGTCTCTACTTCGTGCATCCTGTGTCCTCCTAGATCCAGCCCAGAGGGGCTGCTGTGGTAGCGGGGTGCCGGCAGATACATGGAGACAGGCGAGCACGTTCCAGGCCTGCTCATACACAGTGGCCCATGAGAGGGGTCGGGAAGGCAGACGCGACCCTTGAAGTAGATTTGTTTCTACTCTGCCACCGAAGGCAGCACCCCACCCCCGCAGTCTGCACCCCACTCCCGCAGTCCGCGCAGAGCTGACCCGAATGTGCTGAGTGCAAAAGCCGGCTCTGCCCTCCCGGGTGCCTCTTCACGTGGGTACAAGTGTAGAGGTTCTGAGTCCCTCGACCACCTAGTGCAGGTGCAGAGATGTCCCCAGCTCTTGTGCAGCTCTGGGGCTGCAGTTGGTGCCCGGGCCCATGTCAGGAGGCCGGGAGGCAGGATGCGGCGGGCCCTGGCCACCCCTGGCTCTGGATCAGGGGCACACGCAATGCCAGCAGCTCAAGGAGGGAAGAGGCTGAATGGTGTGCCCAGGCTGCCACCCCCCCACCCCAAGGACCCCACTGTTCCCGAGGCCTCTCTCCTGCATACCAAAGGGAACTGGCCTGCCACCTGCAGCCCTGACCGTCCCAGCAGCTGGCCTGCTCAGGGTTGAGGAAGGGCCCAGCGTTGGGGCTGCACAGGCCTGTGGTCTCCGCACTCCCACTACTGTGTGGGCTTGGCCAAATCAACCAACGTCTCTGAGCCTCTGCTGAAAACAGAAGGAAGATGATAGCGACCCCTTGTGATGTTGTGGCAAGGATAAAGTGGAATGACACAGAGTCCCGTCACAGTCCCTGGCACAGAGCAAACAGGCAAGGGAGAGCCGATCCTTTCCTCTTCAGACCTCTTTCCTTCTCACACCGTGAGGCCTAGGGTGCCTGTCCCCTTTCCTCGCCCATCAAACTCCTATTGATTCTTGAAAACCCTACCCATATGTCCCTTCCACTGAGAGACCTTCACTGGGCATACTCGTCTACCTCCCATTGTCAAAGGCAGGGGCCACATACTGGAGTGCCCAACCCCAATATCGTCCACTTCAGTTTCATGACATATGAAGTAGAAAGAACAGCAGTGCCTATGTCCCAGGGCATCCATCCCACAGATATGCGTGAGCACCTGCCGTGTGCCAGGCCCTGCTCTGGGTGTTCAGAACACGACAATCAACAAAACAGAAAACATTCCTGCCTCGGTGGGACTGGCTGAGGGGCCGCCATCCTGAAAGGTCCAGGAAACCGTGGCCCCCGAGAGCCGGGGGCTGGGGGTGGGCTCCGCAGTCCCCACAGCAACCTCCTCTCGGTGGGCATAGCCCTTGCTCTGAGCCCGAGGCCGAGCCTAGATGCCCACTGACTTCCCCTCGAGGGCTGCCCTCGGCCTCTGCACAACCCTCCCCCGTTGATAACGGAGGATAATAACACCTGTCGACCTGCGTGGAGAATTAATTACCTGTCGTTTGTAAAAACCCTTCCGAGAACAGAATTGCTGTGAGAGGGCGAGTTTTTGTGTCGTCATCGGCAAAGCTAAGCCATATTAATCTGTCAAAGCAAGTTCTCACTAAGAAGAGAGTCTTGTCCGCAATTATGCAGCTCAGTGAGGAGATAACCTTTGCGAGATTTATGTCCCGGCCTTAAAATAATAAAAATAGGAGCAAACTGGTGGGGTGCACGGCCCCAGGCAGGCACGCGGGATCCCAACGGAGCCAGAGGAAATGGAGAAAAAAGTACGGTGGACGCCCAGTTGGATGCAAAACACATCAAACTGAAGCTCGAGAAGCTGGTTACCCAGTGGGTGGCCTCCGCAGCACCGTGAAGGGCCGAATCCGGGCCTAGGACAGCGCGGCCACTCACAGGGCCTGCTGACTGTCCGTCACTCAGCCTCTTCATCGAGAGGACACAGTGCATTTCAGGGGGTATTCCTCATAAAAGTGACTCTGGCTTCTTGCAGAACACCGGGGAAAACTGTATAGAAAGCGAAGTAAGAGGCGACTGTAATCTCGTCACCCGGACAGCATCCCTGGGTATTTTGCTTTACAAGTTTTAGCTTTTCCAAGTGCCTCCGTGGGATCCTAACACGGGACTTTCCAGCCTCCTAGCCTTCTCTTAACTCTGCTCGTGAACCTTTTCTTGGGCTACCGACTGGCCGGCTCGGTCTGGGCATGTCTCCTTGCAGGAACTGGACAATGAGGGGCCTTTGTTGCCAGTGAGTGACGTGAGCAGATCGGCTTTGCGGTAGTGAATCTTGAGGATGGTTTTGCATCTGCACTTCTTGGATTCAGCCTACTAGCCGATCCATTCTATAGCCCTGGTAACTCTCGCTAGATAGGGGCTGAGGCAAGGGCTGGGCCCAGGTGGCTGGCGACACAGCTCCTTCCCCTCTGTGCATCTGGTAGTCTCTGGTGAAGAACTGGACCTTCCTTAGCTGCTCTGTGTGCAAGGGGACAGTGAAGAGGGTGTCTTAGGGACAGCTCTGACCTCTCCAGCCCTGTGGGGGCTTGGTCCCACCTCTTTGAGCACCAGAGCGTTCAGCACTGACTCCATGGCACTAGCCTGCCCGTGGGGTCTCCAGCCCTCACTGTGGGTGCCCTCAGAGGACACGCCCATGTCTGATCACGTGCCCCCTGAGAGGCGCTCTGGTGCGCTTGGACTCGCTGTCCCATCACCTTTGCAGGGTGTCCCCGTGCTCTGATCAACCCAGCTTGCCCTTTCTTTATTCACTCGGCCAGGCTCCCTCTGGAGGGCATGTGGAGGCCTCGTCTCCAGCTGCCAGATGCCACAGAGTACACTCAGCTGCTCCAGGACTGGCAGGGCCAAAAGGGACTGCAGAGGGACTGCAGCTCTGCCTGTGTCTGCCAGCGTCCTGTGGGCCACAGCTGGCCTCAGGGATCCCTGAAGAGTCTTCTGCCTCTGACCTGATAAATGCTGAGCAACCAGGACAGGCCACAGCGCAGGGGCAGGGGAAGAGCAGGCCTATACGTACTCTGCTCATGGCACGTCCAGACAGTGATGGGACGTGCTCCGCGTGTGGGAAGGCTGATGACAGCCCAGGAGACCAGCCAGGTGCTCGGCCACTCCAGACCTCACCTGGCTCTCCAGGAAACCTAGGGCACCAGGTAGGCTGTGCACAGTGGCCTGTAGTGGGCGTGCTGTCAGGGAGGACTCCCGTGCAGGATCCTTGCCAAGGATCCTGCTTCCCCTGACTGGAGCTCACCTGCACCACGGAGGCCCCGCTCACCTACAGAGACCACTGGCTCTCCCTCCCCTGCTGGCCTCTCTACCTTTGTGGCTATCCATCCAGGTGGACAGGAGAACAGACTGAAGGGTCTCACCACAGGAATTGATGCATCGATCTGCTTTTCGAAGCAATCAGGAGAAATCTGTTGAAATGGGCACTGTTTTAACATTTCATGGGGTTTCAGTGGGGCTGGTTTGTTCCGATTCAATCCAAGTGTTCCCAGATTGGGGGACAGGGCTCTTCCCTAGGGTGACACAGTGACTACGCTTCTGTCAGCCTGGGGTCCTGCCGTCTTCATCCCAGACTCCCTAGGTCCCCCTGGGGATATGCCCGGCCTGCATTCATCTTCAGAGGTGGACCTCTGTGGAGAGCAGAAGGCATTCTTTCCGCTGAGCCTGTCACCTCTTATTTCCGTGTTCTGTTTGTTTCTGTAACAGCTTTAGTGATGTGTAATTCACTTGCCATGGGATTCGCCCACCTAGAGTGGTTGTTAGCACATTCACAGGGCTGTGCATCGTCACCACAGTCCATTTTAGGACATCGGTGTCACCCTGGAAGGAGACCCCGTGCCCTTAGCTATCATCCTCCTCTCCCATCACTCCAGCCCCTGGCGGCCACTAGCGTGCTTTCTGTCGCTACGTATCTCTGGACAGTTTCCGTGAATGGAATCGTGCAGCATGTAACACGACCAATTTTTTTTTTTTTTTTTTAGGTTTTTGTCATAGGGCACCTGTGCTCAGCAGAGAGGAGAGAAACAGAGAGAGGGGAAGTGAGAAATCACCCCAGGGGGATGGCCATGCTGCAGTCCTTTCTCCTCCATTCTCCTCTCAGGATTTGGAGCCCATGGGATTCGCCCACCTAGAGTGGTTGTTAGCACATTCACAGGGCTGTGCATCGTCACCACAGTCCATTTTAGGACATCGGTGTCACCCTGGAAGGAGACCCCGTGCCCTTAGCTATCCTCCTCCCCCCCCACCCCCCCAGCCCCTGGCGGCCACTAGCGTGCTTTCTGTCGCTACGTATCTCTGGACAGTTTCCGTGAATGGAATCGTGCAGCATGTAACACGACCAATTTTTTTTTTTTTTTTTAGGTTTTTGTCATAGGGCACCTGTGCTCAGCAGAGAGGAGAGAAACAGAGAGAGGGGAAGTGAGAAATCACCCCAGGGGGATGGCCATGCTGCAGTCCTTTCTCCTCCATTCTCCTCTCAGGATTTGGAGCACACTCGCACACACACCTGGAATATTTTTCAAGCCACCAGCTCTGAGATTTGAACCATGGTCACTTGCTAGCACCATGCAACTAATTTTTTAAAGTTTATTTTATTTATAGTAGGGTGTGTGTACGTGCATGAGAAAGAGAGAGGGGTGCATGCAGTAGGGTCCCGTTACACTGTGACCCCCTTTCCACAGCCCTCCAGCTCCTCAGTCTCGGATGCATGCTCACAAGCCCTGCGTCTTTTCAGATCAATGCACGGATCTGAGTCCACAGTCAGCATGCGGCTTCTAGCGCTGCGGTTCAGTTTGCTATGAACTGCATCACCAGGCTGGGGACAAATAGAGCCCATTGGCCAGTTAGGGCCACCACCCCGTGGCAGATGATTTAGATCAACGTCCAACTTATCGAATGCTTTCATTTTTAACGTAAGATAATTGTGCAAAATATTCTTCAGTCCATGGGCCAGAAGAAAGTGTCGTAGAACACATAATGAACAGAGAAGCCTCTCTCACGTAGATTTGGTGGATGATGTAATTCAGACACGACAGTCAAGTTCTGGAATGACCTCCTATGGGGTGTGTGGCAGGCATCACCGGCTCCATTTCGCAGATGAGGAAACTGAGGTCTTAAGTCGCTCAGAATATGAGTGGCTTCTATTAAGTTAGAATATGAATCTCTGGATACCCAATTCTAGGGTATTCCTAAATTGAGGATTAAAAAAAAAAAAAAAACTAAAGAGGCCAAAGGAAATGTTTACCTTTCTTTTTATTTTTAATTATCATTTATTTTTTATATTTTTACCATAGGGCATGTGTTCTTGCTGGAGAGGAGAGAGACAGAGAGAGCAAGCTAGTGAGAAATGACCCCATGCCCCCAGTGGAATGGCCATGCCGCAGTCCCTTCTCCTCCATTCTCCTCTTGGGATTTTGGACATGTATGTACACATGCCTGGCATCATTTTTAAGCTGCCGGGTCTGAGACCCAAACTGTGGTTGGCCATGTGGGTGTCAGCGTGTCAGCACCTTATCTACCACATCATCTGCTGGCCCCCGCCTTCTTCCAAGTAAGCAGTTAGGTGGCATCTGGTCCGGGGGAAAGCTTAGCCCTGGCTCCCCTCCCAGAAGCTGTGCTGCATTGACCCAGCAACCCTGTGAAGCAGAGGTCATTGCCTCGTCTCACAGAGGAAGAAGCAAGAGGCACCCAGTGTTTTTCTCAAGGCCACAGAGCCTTTAAGAAGAGATACAAGGATTCTGAGCCCTGAGCTTCTGTGACCAGGCCTGAGGACACCCCTCTTCTCTCGCCCTGTGGGATTCTCTGAACTGGGGAGACCTGCAAGGCGGGCCACAGAGTTTTACCCTGCAAACCCTGTGGTGCCCATTGGTTCGGTAGTCTCTGGTGGAACTCCTGTTCATTAAGGAAGGCTGGGCCAGCCAGACCCCTGACCTAGCATCTCAGGCAGCAGGAAGGACAGAGAAATGGGAAGGGGGCTCTAGAGCCAGAACCCTGCAACTCTAACACACCTCACTTGTCCCCTGTCTATAAAAAGAGGAGGTGAATTGTGGCTGTCTTCTGAAGCCTGAGCTACTGTGGTCACATGTGAGGCCCCCAATAAAGGCTCCAGGAATCACATCTCTTGGTCTGTACTGGAGGGAGCCAGGCTGGGAGGCCCACCCTTGACGAAGGCCCCCTGAATGTAGCTGGAGTAGAGGCACTGCACCCAGATGCTGCAGGGGGCTCTGATCTGGGTCAGAGGATTGGCTGATCATCCCAGGACCTTGCTGTCCCCTGCTCACCTGCCACCACCTCCCAGGCCATCTGGCAAAGCACCCACTGAAGCCATTATTGGCCTCTACCACTTCACCTAGAGGTCAGCCCAAGAGCCAGGTTCCCACTTTCCACCCACCCCTCCAAGGCACTCCTGACCCTGCTCTCCCCCTCTACAACCCCCAGGGTGCATTTGGCCTCAGGCCTAGTTTTTCTAAGGACACTACTACTGAAGTGCTGACCGTTGCTTCTTTCTCTCCTCCTTGTAGCCGGACTGCCACCTGCACCTGCACCTGCGCTGGGCAGACAACCCCTATGTCTCGGGTACTGTGCACACCAAGGACACTGCCCCAGGCCTCATTATGGGTGCAGGTAGGTGCTGCCAGTGTACTTGCCTGTCATGCATTCAAAGGAAACTCCATTCTCAAGGGTAAACATTGATGGCCATCTGCCTGAGGCCATGATGGGGCCATTAGAGGGCAATGTCACCTCATCTATAGGAAGTTCAACTCTCGGGGTAAACCACAAGGGATGAGAGCATGGTCTAGGGTGTGCATGATAGGTATTGGCTGAAGAGAAGGATGGCTATATGGAAGGATAGAAGGGTGGAAGGATGGATGGATAGATGGAAAGATATATGGATGGAAGGATGGATAGCTAGAACAATGGATGGAAGGATGGGTAGATAGAAAGATGGATAGATAGAAGGGTAGGGAGAGCTAGAAGGATGGATAGATGGAAGATGAATGGATGGAAGAGTAGATGGCTAGGAGGATGGATGGATGGGAGGATGGATAGGTAGAAAGATGGATGGATGGAAGGATGGAGAGATAGGAGGATGGATAGAAGGAAGGATGAATGGATGGAAGGATAGATGGATGGGAGGATGGATGGATGGACGGATGGATGGATGGGTGAATAGAAGGAAGGTAGGTAGATGCAGTAGATGGAAAGATGGATGGGAGGATGGATGGCTAGTAGGTGGATGTAAGGTGGAGGCTGGATAATAGATGAATGATGGATGAATGATGGATTGATGGATAATTTGTATCATGGTAGACATTTATTAGTGCCTGAAGAAAGTCCTAATTTAGTAGGAGAGAGAGATATGTATACAACTAGCATCATTTTAAAAACCAAAATTATGGGACCAACAAGCAGCATGGTGGTTAAGGTGCTGGATCCCACATGGCCAATTCCGTGGTTTGACTCCTGGACCTGATAGTTTGGAAGACACACTGAGCGCACGTGCATGTGTGCCCAAAATACCAAGGGGAGAGTAGAAGAGACGGGAATTGTGGCATGGCCATCTTCCTTAGGGGTAATTTCTCACTTTCTCTCTCCGTCCTTCCCCCCTGGTGAGTGCATGTGCCCCATGGTAAAAGTCAAAAAGAAAGAAAGAAAATAAATAAAATTATAATGCATGGATGTAGCTGCTTCCCCCACTAAACTAGATCTTTCTTCAGGGATCATTAAGTGTGTGCCTACTGAGTAATACCATAAAGATTTATTTGAGTTTGAAAAATCATTCAAAATTGAAAGCAAGGCCACCTACCTAAGGCTACTTGATTACCCCTTTGTAGATGGGGTAAGTGACAGGTCATGTCCCCTGTCCTCTTTTCTTTTCTTTTCTTTTCTTTTCTTTTCTTTGGAGAGGTTTTTTGCTATAGGGTGCGTGCGCTCGCCAGACAGACAGAGAGAGACAGATAGAGACAGAGAGATAGAAATCACCCCCCAGAGGGGATGGCTGGTCCCTCTCATGGCTTTCTCAACCCAGGACCCTGTCCCTCTATTTGTCCAGCACCATCTGCCACACAGAGGAGGGCTGGGGGTCAAAGTTCAGCTGGATGTTAGCCCCAGACTCTGAGCTGGATGCCACACCCAGCCCTCCATCCCACATCTCAGCACAAGGCTCAGGCCTAGCCCAGGGTTAGCCCTCCAAGACCGTGTATTTAAGTTGCATCACTGTGGGACCAGCAGTTAGTGTAATGGCTATGTCGCTGGACTCCCACGTAGTTGACCGTGGTTCGAGTCCCGGACCCGGTGGCTTGAACTCAAGCCGGGTGCGGGGGCGTGCGTGCCCAAGATCACAAGAGGAGAATGGAGGAGAAGGGATTGCGGTGTAGCCATCCCCCCTGGGGGGTGATTTCTCACTTTCTGTCTCTCTGTCTCTCTCTGTCTGTCTGGCGAGCACATGTGCCCTATAGCAAAAACCTCTCAAAAAAAAAAAAAAAAGTTGCATCACTGTAAATGGCTGCAACCTCAAATTGGTGACCAAAGTAAGAGAGACACCATTTCAAGTGTTTCTACTGCTCAGAGGCCTTGAAAGCCCAGGATGAATGTTCCGGTCTCCAAGAGCACTCCGTGCAGTGTGGAATTGCCCGTTGTCATGCAGAAAACTGGGACTGTCCACGATGCGCGGTGGAGAGCTTGTGGGACTGCAGCCTCTCTCCCTTCCTCCCACTGTCCCTCTGAGGGCGGATGCTACATTCAGATTTCATTCTGCTGTTTTTTAACGCTGGCCACAGCTTTCCCCTAAAAACAGTATCTTCACGTGATGTGGGCCAGTTGATGTATAAATGTTTTACTTCCTCCTCTGGCCCTGAGCTGCTGCTGGGAGCAGGAGAGGGAGGTGGGCGAGCCGGCTCCTTGAGGCACTGGGGCAGTGGCTGCCAGGAGACCGCTGCTTCACACTGTCTGACCCTACACCACCCACTGGCCCGGCGCACATGGGGCCAGGGGACTGCATTGCCAAGATGGCCAGGGTGATGACCGTGTGTTTCCACAGGGTCACGCCCCTGCTCTGCCTGCCATCCATTATCAAATTCTACCGCTGAGGCAGGGGGCAAGTTATAAGGCCCAGGCTCTGGGCCTCAAATTCTGGGCCCTTGTGCATCTCCCAAACTTCACTGAGCCTCAGTTTCCTTGTCTGCAAACGGAGAGGACAAAATTTCCACTGTAAGGACGACGTGGAGAGGGATTAGGTGGAAAATGTCAAAGCCAGGCATTCCAATAAATTACTTTCATTTGAATAGTGACCAGGCGTGCCCCATGCCAGGTGCTGTGCCAGGGTCCTAGAGATGAGGCTAGATGGGACTCAGCCTCTGGTCTTGGGGGTGCATGGAGGATCAAAGGGAGGGGAGCATATGGGACCTGGCACCAAGTCCCTGCGAGATGCCCCAGTATAATGCGCCACCTGGGGCAAAAGGTGAGACGGCCAGACCTGCAGCCCCTGCCGAGCAGACCCACAGGGAAGGCGTTCCAGGGAGAGGGCTGGTACGTGCAAGGCTGCGGAGGTGGAGAGACTAGCACTGGGGTCCATCTCAGGGTCAGATAGATACACCCCGGCTATTGGAGGCCTGGCTTCGGGTCCAACCAGCAGGGCCAGACCTGTGAGGGATCCAGAGGGTGGGGCCATGAGTCCAGTTAAGAAGGCAAAAGGATAGATTCAAGAAGCAAAGACAAGCGCCCTGGCTTCTAACCAGCAGGGCAGAGAACCTGGAGGTAGACCTCGCCGTGACCGAGGATGCTGGAAGGGGACCTTCCTGAGGAAGCATGGTGGGGGAGTACGGGACAGCCAGCTTCCTCGTACACTCTCCTGGTAGAGTAACCCGCTGCACGGCCTCCTCAATTCCTCAGCTTTGTGCTTTCCTCCTTTCGCTAGACTAGGGTTTGGGTCTTCGTGGTGGTTTAACCTCCTGGGAGACAAACACTTCCCTGCCCTAGACCTCCAGGGGAACCCTCTGCAGCCAGCATGGCCCATGGCCAGCTGGCTCCTGCCTCCCGGCCTCTGCCTGCTGTGCACCGCCCCAGAGTCTCCTCCCACTCCTGCTCCTGCGCCTCATCCAGGAAGCTAAAAGATGCAGAGCAGGTGCCCAGACGCACCTGCTCATCAGAATCTCCTGGGGGTCTCTGAAGTCCCTGGAGGCAGGGCCCTGGATCTGCATTGCTAACAGGCTTAGTGAGTCCTGAGGAGGCAGGAACCCCTGATGGTCAGGAAGCCTGGTGCTTAGGGCCTAGGGTAACTCCAAACGTTAGGAGCTCTATGGTCTGGAATGGGCTCTATGCCTCCCTGACCCTCGGTTTCTCCATCTGTCAAATGGGGACAGTCTCTCAGCCTTGAGTGCACTAGGAGGAAGGTCTGGTGTGCACGGAGCAGTGCTCAGGCAGCCCCTCCTCCCCCACCATACTCGGTGTCCTGATCCTGGTCTGCGTCATGGCCACTCACCCCTGTCCCTGTGGAGATGGCAGGTGCTTTGCTCTCACTGGCCCTGGCAGAGGGGGCTGACATCTACCTCAGAAAGCCTCGAGGGAGACATTTCGGGAGCTGGCAGGACTCCAGCCCACTCCATGCTGAGACCCTGGGAGCATTGGCCATGGGATGGAGGCCCCTCCTGTGAAGGAGCCAGGTGCCGGCCTGGCTCTCCCTGGAGTCTCTGCCACTGTGTCCTGGCTGCTCGGGCCCAGCAAGCTCAGGCTATGCGCAGAGGTGAAGGCAGAAGCCTATGACCTGGCTGAGGGTCCTGGACTGGGTCCAACGATGACCACAGCCCTGTGACACGCCCCAGCCCTCTGCAGCTGGGAAGACAGGTGGTGGCCCCAAGGGCCAGAGAGGAGTTGCTGCCCTAGTGGGTGCTGTCCTAGTAGGTGCTCCCTGGGCGACAGGCTGCAGGGTCTCCAGGCCCGTTGTCCTCCTCAGGAAGTGCCTAGGGTGGATGGCAGCTGTTGCTTCACTCTGTTCTGGCCCTGGGACCTTCAGAGGGAGGAGGGAGAGGAGAAGCTCTCATTCAGTGAGAGCTTACTGTGTATCAGGGTCTGGAACCCCAAGGCGGAGTGGGGAGGGAGGAGGCGGGGAGTGGAGCTCAGTGCATGTAACCCCCACTCCAGAACAGCAGGATGGAGATGCACTGGGGAAGCCCCTCCCGTCATCCCCTCATCCCACCCTTGTGCCTCAGTTTCCCCTCCATAAAACAAGGGTATCGGCCTCTGTGTTCTCTGTGGGCCTTCCTCTCTGACAGCCTCTGGACACGTCTGTGAATTTCCCATTTCCCTCCAGTGCCAGGGAGGTGACTGGCAGCCCGACAGTGTTGGTAGAAGGGGCAAGGAAAACAGCATCTCTTAAAAGGCGGACACCCGCGCCACTGAAAGGGCAAAGTGAAATTCGCCTGCTGAGTCGTGCTGACACGCTCGCTGCGCGGCCTTGGCGTTGATGCGCGTGTCCTGGAGTGTCTGTTGGCATCGGGAGTGGAGGGGAGGGGAGGGCGAGCCTGCCCGCCTTCCTCTCTGCCCGCACGTTCCATCCATCCCTTTGCTTCCCTCATCTCATCCCTTCATCAGTCACTGCCCAGCACCTTTTGTTGGCCAGGAATGACGCTCCACAGGAGAAGGTGCAGGCGTGTCAAAGCCCAGCTAAAACACCTGTCACCCTGCCCCACCGTGTGTCCACACCTTTGCCCAGGCTGTCCCTCCTGCCTGGCATGCCCCTTCCCCCGGCCAGGTCAGAGCTGTCTCTCAAGGCTCTGCTTGGAGCTCACTTCCTGCAGGGGTCTCTGAGCATTCCCCTTCATGGGTCCCCACTCCTGGCTTTGTGTCCAGTCACATGGCCACCTTCTCCGCCTGCTAGCTAGAGAGCACTCAGGGGCAAGGTCGTGGTCCGTCTGACTCAGAGTCCCCAGAGCTTAACCTAGAAAGGAGCAGCGTCAGCACTCAGCACACGCGATGAAAGGGGCGAGGATGGAATTAATGAACAAAGGAGACGAGGAGTAGATTGGTTGGAGGATAATAGACTAATGAGGGATGGATGATGGATAACACGGACGGATAAATGGATAAACAAACTGATGAGAGATGAATGGATGGGGAGACAGGCACACAGACACTCTGCCACTCTCAGAACTTCCTGTAACTCAGCTGTGTGGGACGGTCCATCTCCTTTGGAGCTTCCCAGTGACTTCTCAGCTTGTCTCTGGCTGGAATAGAAATGCCACACGTGTAAGGCTTCCAGCAGCAAGTGATGGAACAGTCACCGGGGCCAGGGCTCCGGGGCTCCAGACGAGAGTCCAGAATAGCTGCAGTGTCACAGGTCTCCATCTTCCTGGGGACTTGGACCCCTGTTCTCTGCCATGACCATGGGGGACAGTGGAAGCCTGCCCAGCCTGGCTCGTCAGAAAACCCCTCTGTCCAGAGGCTACTGTGAAAATGTTGGTGCTCTTACATGTGACTGGCGTTCTTGCCACGGGACTCCACGGGCTGTTTCCTTATCCCTAAGATGGGATTGGCTTTGGTTCATGAAGAAAGTTTTTCCCATTCTGACACCACCCACAGATTTAAGTCTGGGCCCCTTAAGAAGGGTCTTCAAGGCTAGTGACTGACCCAGCCAACCTGGTCAGGGGCTCACATGGGCTGGGATGAGGCAGAGCCTCCTGGCTGCAAAGTTGGCTTGGTGCTCACCGCCCTGTCCTTCCAGACTTCCACTCTGCAGGTACTCAGGGAGCGGGCCTGGTCCTTCCAGCCGTCCTCACTTCACCTTCCCGGGGCCTCCCTCCAGTCTCCCTGACACCCAGCCTCCAGGAGCTGACTCGAAATGCAGGCCCTGCTGGCCCGCCCAGCCCACGTCCCTTCTAGCCTGTTCCCCATCACGCTACATCCTTGGGCCATACCTCCAGGTCCTCCGCTCCAGCGGAACCCAGCGGGAGCCACCGAGCTCCTGAGTTTGGCTCTTTGGGCAGAGTTGATCCTCTGTCTACTGCATGGACAGAAGCCCAGGGCCCAAGGCCAGCAGTCACGGTGGGTCTGTGATGCAGGTGTAGACCAGGGCACAGGTAACCCTTGTTCTAGGACTTTCTGGGCTGAGACTGTTGCCCCTGTTTCTTCTGGACCAGGGAACCTGGGCTCTCAGCTGGTGGAGTATAAGGAAGAGATGTACATCACGTCGGACTGCGGCCACACCTGGCGGCAGGTAAGGTGGCGGGGAGGGGCCCCACCTGCTAGGACGCCTAGATGTGACTGTTCTGTCATCCCCTCCCTGCCCCGAGGCTTCAGGGGAGATGTTCCAGGCCACCCTGCCCCCTCTGTCAGCTGGCCCCGGCCTCCCTTAGCAAATGGCGCATCTGTCCTACCGGGCGGGGCTGGCTCAAACTGTCCGGGTGCTGTTCTCACAGTCGCTGGTGGGAGACTACAGAGCTGAGAAGTGTCGTCACACAGTAGAGATGTCATAGGGACGTTGAGGACAGACAATTGATGCCAGGATACAGAGGAGGAGGAGGTCCTGGCCACACAGCAGCTTCCAAGGCTGGGGCTGAGCTCTTTCGGGAGCCTGAGGTTAGGAGGTGGGGGTCCCAGTAACTTCCGGAGTCCTGGCAGGGCAGCTGTGGGGTTGACGGCAGACACGTCAGTAGAGGAAGGTGGTGTGGGACAGGACAAGCGGCTCCTTCAGGCCATGGTGGGTGTGGGTCGCAGTGCCCGGAGAACATCTAGGGGTGATGGTTTGATGGCGCAGTATAATCCAAGAAAAGGCAGGAGTGGAGGAGAGGAGGAAAGGAGGAAGAAAGCTCGTCCTCAGGAAAGGATCCCACACCAGCAGAGCCGGTACAGGGCTCCTCTGGGCTCCAGGCAACCCCACGTGGAGCTCAGGCTCACAGACCACGGGACCATGCCACTGGCCAGCAGCATCCAGGAACAGCGAGGCCAGGGAGGGCGGGCCCTGAGCATCTCTGAGCCCAGCAGAGGGCTCCTGCCTCCTCACTCTGCTTACTCTTTCTGTCCAAGGGAGAGGAGAGGAAAACTAACAACCACAGCAAAAACCCTTCTAGGTTAAAGCTCGTCTGCTCATTTCAGGAAGTGACAGTCTTTGCTTTGAACACTGAAGAAAATGAACTAAACGGTGTGTGCCTCTTTCTCGGGGACTATGTAAGAAGTTGTGCTCCCCACGTCTGAGTACCCCAGCTACAGGCCCCCCCAAGAGACACGCTGGACCAATACATTCATTCCAAGGGTACAAAGTTCACCTGCAGTCTCAGTGTAAGGTCTTGACGCTTTTTCACAACATGCAAGAAGCAAGGAATTTTGAAAAGGGCAAAAGAGATTTATTGTATTATACTATTTCTATTTCACTAAAACTAGTGAAACGTGTCTAAAGTTTCTTAAAGGTCACTATCTGTCCATTTAGTAGAGAAGTTCCCCCTTCCTTAGATGAAATAGACAGGGGTGAAATAGAAGAGGTTTTCTAATTTTCTAAAAACCAGTTGTAAGATATTCATAGCAGTCGCGGCAGCCAAGCCGTCTGCTCAGATTTCAGACTTGGGGCTGTCAGAGGGCAACGGGAGGGTGTCTGTCCAAGCCCTGAGTGCGGGGCTTGGTCTCTGGAGTGCGTACTGCTTTCCTGAACTGGGACGTGTGTGTGTGTGTGTGTGTGTGTGTGTGTGTGTGTGTGTGTGTGTCAAGGGAGGGAGAGAAGCTTGTGCTGGGTTTGGGGAGTTATTGGGAGGAGGAGGAGGAGGAAGAGCAGACCCCCAGGTGGGAGACAGAGGGGGACTAAGCTTAGAGGACAAGCCATGAGTCCAGGGGTTCTGGCTCGTCCATCATTCCAAACTGTCAGGGAGAGATTCGAGGTGTGTCTGAGAGTGGAACTCAGAATGTGACTTACGCATGACAGAGCATGTATTCTTTAACGGACAGGCACAGAATTCCCAAGGTAACCAAGGAAAGCCAGGATACGTTCAAGTTTCCAGCTGGGACTCCGTGTATGGGGGAGGCGGAGAAGGGAGAGGTGGGGTCAGGGTCCTGTGGGTCTTCCCCACCCAGCCCTGCTCCTGGGAGGTGAGCCAGGTGCAGGAGATGTTTGGAGACCCTGCTCCCTGCTGTGGGAGTTGGAAGGCCTGGAGCTCTCTGTCCAGAGTCCCAAGCTAGCAAGAACAGACGTTCTGGGGGCCCTGGACGGCTTGGGGGCGTTCTGCCCATCGTCCTCAAGGAGGAGGGTGTGGGGTCCAGGGTCGGGGTGTGGGGCCTGGGGCCGTGAGTGTGCACACCCTCAGTGCACCTGGTTCCAGCCCTGGGGGAAATTGGGTTCTAGAAGCCAGGCTGAGAAGCCCACTCCTCTTTCACTCTGCCACACCCTTGCGTTCAGTGACCCCCATCTCCTCAGGGGACCCCAAAAGGCAGTAGATAAGGCCCCAACTGGCAAGGGCATGGGGTCTTTTACCACTCAGGGCAGAGGCTTTGCCTGGCAGGTTCAGAGGGAAGTGGGTGGGCACGGGACGGAGATGGGTCTGACGTGCTGTGATGTTCGCCTGTATAGCTTCATGGGCCTGAGGGCCAGGGCCGGGGTACACGTGCTTGGTGAGGGAGCCCGGATTCTCCCAGAACATGCCCTGAGACACGGAGCTCCCTCCCTCCTGGAGAAGCTGTTTGCTTCGGAGTTCACTTTCCTCCCGAATCACCACAGCCTCCGCCCCCTGACCCACCTCCCCCAGCACCTGAGGAGACTTGCACAAGGGGATCTGTTCTGTCACTCCTGGGTCAAGCCTCAGCTGTTGCACGGGTCATCTGCACCTGTCCCGGCTGCCCAGTGCCCAGCCTGGGCCTCTCGACTTGTTCCCAGAGCTCGGGCCCTGCCCTGCACGGCCTCCTCCATGCACACCTGCTCTCTGTGACCTACAGGCCTTCATACTGCGGCTCACCTCCCCGCTCCCCCATGATGCCCTTGTCACTCCTGAGACCACCTGAGCTCCACTTGCCCTAGGGACCCCTGCCTGGGTCATAGTTTCATTGGGATGTGACATCATTGTCCCCAAATGTTGGCTTGACCCATGTGCTGTGACAAGAACTGGGCTGAGACCAGGTTTTCCAAGTCAGAGATGACAGAGCCTTGTAACAGTCGACACCTGGGTGGTGTCTGGGAGGATGAGCCCCGGTGGAGAGGCCTCCCTGGGGGTCTCTGCCCGGGCTGTGAATTCCTGGAGGCTAGGCCTGGAATCCCAGCCCCCCACAGAGGGGGCCTACAGCACTGAGTCTGTGAGTGTGCCGATGGGTAGGCAGGAGGGTTGTGGGAAGTTCTTCTGCGGCATCCTAGAATCCCCAGGCTGTCACCTCCCACGTCCAGGAGCCCTCATCCTGGGATCAAAGACTCAAAATGGATGAGCAGAGAAGATGCTGCTAATACCTCTTTTTGCAATTTCCCCATTTTCGTTGTGCAACTGGCTCACAGCCTCAGAGCAGCCTGCCTGGAGTCGGGGGCCTCTCGGCTCGTCCGCCTTGCCAGGAAGTGCAGGTGCAGCCCCTGTGGACCGACCTCTGTTAGGAAGGAGCCAGGAGCCAGCTGAGCCCATTTACTCCTGCCTCGCTGGGCTCTGGGCCTATTCACATCTCCAGGGAGCTGCGTGGCGGTGCCGTCCCTGGGCCAAGTGTCCACGGTCCTTGCTGCCCGCCGGGGCTCACCAGGCCCTTCCTGCAAAGGCCGCAGGGAGACTGAATAAGTCTCAGGCCTGGGAGACAGGACAGGGTGGGAGCTGAGCGGGGCTGCTTCCTGGGAGACGGGCAAGACGGGGCAGCGTGGCAGGGATGGCAGTGACTCCGCCGGGCAGCGTCCAGGAACACGTGCCTGCCACCTACACGTGGATGTTCCTGAAGTACTGGTGAAGGCCCTTATGTCCTGCAGGCCACACCGGGCTCTGCCTTCTCCCTGCACCCCACTCTGGCTTGCAGCTTCCTCGTCTGTAAAGCGGGACCCCACCCCAGGGCCATTGGCAGACTAGGGAGACCACCATGGGTATCTGCTCCCGTGCGAGCCCTGTGGGGCTGCTTAGCCTTCTGTCCCCTGAAGACTTGGGGTGGTTCATTCAGTCATTTGTTCATTCATCCCACACACGCCCTGCACACCCTGAGACACCGAGCTCTGAGCTGAGCTGGGGTGAGCACCAAGAGGCCTTGAAGCAAGCCCTCCTTGAAGGAGTTTCCCGGCTGGAGGACACAGTGATAGATTAGTGTAGTAAGTGCTGGGGTGGGGCGCTGTGGAGCCCAGAGCCAGCATCCCACCCAACCTGACATCAAGGAGGGCTTCCTGGAGGATGTGTTATTTAAGTTGAGTCTTCATGTCAAATTGGGGTTTACTTTTCCTGATACATTGATCACAAATGTTTTCTCAATTCACTGTCCTGCTCTCCTCTGCATGTCGCTGGCCCTTTTTGTGCCGCATCCCTGTGTGCGGAGGACCATGTGTCGCGTCCCTGTGTGTGGAGGACCATGTGCCGCGTCTCTGTGTGTTTTTCTCTCCCACATCCGTTCATTTGGTGTGTGCTGAGTCCGTGTGGGGATCCGGGAGCTTGAGGCCTGCCCCAGCCTCGGTGACCTAGCCCGCCGACGCCCCAGCCTGCGCGCTGTCAGTGCTGCTCCCGAATGACCCCTGACCTTCTCAGCCTTCCCCCTCTGCAGGTGTTCGAGGAGGAGCACCACATCCTGTACCTGGACCACGGCGGCGTGATCGTGGCCATCAAAGACACCTCCATCCCCCTGAAGATTCTCAAGTACAGTCGCTCGGGCCAGCGGCAGGCTGTGCAGGCGTGGCGTGGGGACGGGGCCCTTTCTCCACCCGGAGCCCTCTCAGAGTGTCCCCACAGCGGACAGCAATAAGCATAGCAACAGGGGGAGACGCGAGCCTGGCAGACCCTCCCATAACTGGGTCGTGAGGCCTTCAGAGCCAAGCCAACGCGGAAGACAAGACGGCAGGGTCGGGGAGAGACAGGAGGAGGCCTGGGGCTGAGGGCCCCACTGGAGGCTCCACTCTATCTGGAGGAGCTTGGAAGGCTTCCCAGAGGAGGAGACTTTTAAATAGTAACAAGAATTAGTTGAGTGGAGGGCATGAGACCAGGGTGATCCAAACAAGGAAACAAGGAAGCTACCTGAAGGTACTTAGGTGAGAGTGGGTTGCGACCTCTTCAGATCCATCAAAGAGCCCCTGAGGAATTAAGGGGCCATGGGACCCAGAGCCTAGAAGGCAGAGAGGGCAGCTGCCAGTAAGTATCACTTCTGGCAGAGAAAAGAGCCTTCTGCCTTGTAAGATGGTGGCACTATGACACTCCTCCTGTCACTGGCCTGGCACCCCTGGGCCAGTCTGAGGCCTTGGGTAGGCCAAACCAGTGTTTCCAAAGCCATGCAGGGACTAAGACCATCTCTGCGGTCGCCAGCACCACGCCCAGCACATGGGCCTTGTGGTTGCATGCGGGATTTGGGCTGCCACGGGGAGCGTCCAGGCCTGCTTGGCCAACGTCCCTTCTCTTGGCAGGTTCAGTGTGGACGAGGGCCTCACCTGGAGCACTCACAACTTCACCAGCACCTCGGTGTTCGTGGACGGGCTTCTGAGCGAGCCGGGGGACGAGACGCTGGTCATGACGTGAGTGCATGGGCTAGGGCTGGGGGCATGGGCCCAGGCTCGCTGCCCTGAAGTGCGCTCAGGCTCGGGACCCGGCCTCCACCTCAAGTCAGGGCCCAGTAGTTCCCCTCAGCCCCCATCCCCAGGTCCCCTGGGAGGTGGCCACTCTTCCCTGTTCCAGGGTGTCTGCTGCCTGCCCAGGGTCTGCTGGCCAGCAGAGGCAGAGCTGAGGCTCAGGGTCACTCTGGCATCCTGTCTGCAGTTAATGATGACAGTGGTACGATCAGCTGTTGGCACCTTCCTTAGCTACCCGGTAGGGGTGAGGTCCGGACCCAGACAGGCCAGTACAGGGAGGAGCTTGGCTGTAACCCTACTCTGTGTCGAAGGCACGGTCCTGCCCAGCTTCCATCTCCAACCCAGCAGCCTGTGCCGAGCCCCACCTTGGGTCAAATGCTACATGAGGCCCCATGGGGCTGAGAGGTGTTGGAATCCCTGGTATTCAGAGCTGCCTGGCCCAGGAGCGAGACTCAGGGGACAATGAGAACTGAAGACAGGCACACAGGGCTTAACCCTGCTGCAGCCATGCTAAGGAAGAGCAGGCATGTCCCCAGGACCCGATGAAATAAAGACTCACCCAGGCACCTTCTCCTTGGGCATCCCGCCACGTGGGGGACCTATTGTAGACCGAGCTGGCTCTGAGCTGGGCCAGGGCCCCGGACTCTCAGCACCCCGATGCCAGGCACCCAGGCGCACTTGGCGCCGCGTGGTGGGGCTCCCCTGTATGTCTTTATGATGAGACCTGGCACCTGTGGGTGTCCCTTATTTGGAGATAGGGTCGCGCTGGTGGATGAAGTCAGGATGAGGCCGTGATAGGGCAGGCCTACTCCGTGACCGGCGGCCATGTAAGAAGAGAGGACAGACGCGCAGACACAGATGAGGGCCGCGTGCAGACAGGCACCGAGCACTACGGCCGCAAACCCGGATCACCTGGAGTCACCGGGGGCTGGAAGAGCCAGGAAGGCTCCTCCCCTAGAGTCTTAGGCGGGAGCATGGCCCCAAGACCCCTTCGTGTAGGACTTACCTCCAAACTGTGAGAGAACACATTTCTGGGTTTTTATTATTTTATTTTATTTAGAGGGTTTTGCCTTAGGATGTGTGTGCTCACCAGAGAAAGAGAGACAATGAGAGCGAAAGTGAGAAGTCACCCCGCATGGGGATGGCCGGGCCGCAATCCCTTCTTCTTCATTCTCCTCCATTCTCCTCCTAGGATCTTGGGCACGCATGCCCATGCACACACATGCACACACATACATGCACATGCACGCACATGCATGCCCATGCACGCACATGCACGCACATGCATGCCGTTTGAGTTTCAAGCCCCCAGGTTTAGAACTCGAACCTCGGTCAGTCAGGTAGGAGTCCAGAGACGTAACCGCTGTGCCATCTGCTGGCCCCACATTTCTGTTATTTTAAGCCATCGGGTTGTGGCAATTTGTTAGACCAGCCACGGGAAACTGCTGGAGCATCCCACCACTCTTCCCTTTCCAAGTGCTCAGCTCGGGGCCAGGGGCGACTGACGTGGGACTGCCCCCTGGACTTTGGTTCTCTGCTCTGGCCTTTCTGGAGCAGACAGGCCTGTCCCACCCTCTCCCCCGAGGCGGCTGGGCCCTGTGACCTTTCCCTCGCCCCCTGGCTGGAGCAGCCCATGCTTTGTGGAAGTGGGGACTGAAGGCCGTGATTCCCGGGCTTGGTCTCAGAACGAAGAGCCAGCCGAGTCATTACCCAAGTCACACGTGAGTTTGCCCTCCCTGCTGCAGTGGGCCTTCCCTCTCACGACCCTTCTGCGCTCTCCCGCCAGCCGGAAAGGCACGTGCAGAAAAGCCCAGAAGTGCCTGGCCCTCGCCCCACCTCCCTTTTCATGCCCTGTCCTCCTCTGCAGGCCCACAGAGCTCTCAGGAGGCCACACAGGGGCAGCCCCAGCCATGGGACGCAGGCCTGCTTGTGGCAAAACCACTCCGCGTCTTCCCTGGGATGCCCTTGCACGCTTTGTCCCCAGGTCACCAATATGGCCCCGGTGATGGGGCTGTCAGAGGCTTTATTGAGCTCCTACTGCATCTTAGGGGCTGTTTTTATCCATTATCTCATCTTATTCTCTTAAGAAATCCCACCTGAAGGCTTTATCTCCCATCTCTAGAAATGCTAAGCTCTCAAAGAAGTCTACCCCCTCAGGAAATGGTGGGAAGGGACCCCACCCAGAGAGGAGGGAGGCCCCAGGATCCCGGTGGGGAGTAGCCCCCTTCAGAGTTTCTTTTTTCTTTTTTTCTTTTTTTGGAGAGGTTTTTGATATAAGGCACGTGCACTCGCCAGAAAGACAGAAAGAGACAGAGAGACAGAAAGCGAGAAATCACCCCCCAGGGGGGATGGCCACGCCACAATCCCTTCTCCTCCATTCTCCTCTCGGGATCTTGGGCACGCATGCACATGTGCCCGGCGTGAGTTTAAGCCACCGGGTCCGGGACTGGAACCATAGTTAACTACATGGGAGTCCAGCGACATGGCCCTTACACCAACTGTTGGTCCCACCGCTTTCAGAGTTTCTGATGCCTGGTGTTGGTGGCTCCCCTGGCCCTGGACACAGGCTCACCCATGACCACACATTTCACTCCCTAAAGCTCCTACCGGCTTCACCGGGGACAGGCGGAGTGCATCCCCTCCTTTCCTGAGACCACAGGGGAGGCAACAGGCAAAAGGCCCCAGCCTGTGAGTGTTTGGAGGACTGAGGGCAGGCTCGGCACGGACCCCTTGCAGGGCTGAGCTGTTTGCCAGGGCAGGAGCCAGCCATGCCTGGTGGTGACTGACCTGTATACAGAGGGCAGGAGGTCAGCGTCTCTGCAGGGCCTGAGAAATGGGCACCTTCCACCCCAGGGCATCACCGGCTCGTCCTCGCAGGATGCCCGGCCCTGCACCCCGACCGTCAGCACATCAGAGCTGGTGTGGGCTTCAGAAACAGCCCAGCTTTCATCTCCCCCGGCAGACAGGACATTGTGTCCCCAGAATGGCAACGGCAGAATTCACGGCCAGCCGCTGTCACCGTCTGAGGTTTTGTGTTTCAAAGATCAGAATGGTTCCTGCACATCCCCTATTTCACAGTGCCGCAGCTTCAAACAAGTTTCCAATTCCAGCTGACACAGAAATGATGCAAACCGCGGTAGAGGGGGCACGGCCGCGCTAGAACACAGAGTGGGGCGCAGGCCTGTGGGGGCCGCCTGCTCAGAGGACCTCACCCCGCTCCCCTCTCCTTCCCTGTCTCGCTCTCATCCCCCACACAGGGGAGCACATTTTCCCAGGTAGCCCCACTGTCCAAATCCAGGCCAAGATGACATGGCTGGCCCTGCCGCCTGGGGATGTCTCCCATGCAGAGCACAAGACTGACTTGCAGCTGTGGAAGGGCCCTGGTGGCAGCTGGGAGAACGGGGCTCCTTGCCCATTCATCGGGGGCTGACCACACAGGCTCAGACGAGCTGGCCCACACAGTGCTTGTACATGACCCACAGTACAAGCCACAGATAAGGACCAGCAGCTGTGGGATGCTAACACCTGCGGACACCAGGCACGGTGCCCGGGTGCCCCATTCTCACCCCAGCCAGGGCAGCAGAGGCGTTGCTGCACCCCTGTCCACGTGGGTTTGCACAGCACAGGTGGAGCAAACTAAGGTGCTTTCCTGTCCCTTCCCCTTTCCACCCAGGGTCTTCGGCCACATCAGCTTCCGCTCTGACTGGGAGCTTGTCAAGGTGGACTTCCGGCCCTCCTTCTCCAGGCAGTGCAGCGAGGAAGACTACAGCTCCTGGGACCTCACCAACCTCCAGGTGGGCAGGAGGCAGGCAGGGCCCTCTGTCTGCCAGAGTGCTCCCCTCCAGGAGGTCCTCAAGGAGTCCCCCAACTCTACAAGTCTGATCCTCCTGTGGATTGTCTGGACCCTGGGGTGGCTCTGGGCCGAGAGTCGGTCACACACTCCACTCACGGAATTATGGATCATTCACTATCCCAACCCATGGAGGAAGAGTATGCTCGGGATTCCGGGTTTTCCGGATCTCAGGAAGACAACACATGTGTGCTCCGTATGTGACAGTGGGGTCTGGAGAAATGCGGTGTTTCAGTGCAGGGCCTGGGATTGTTGGAAATTAGCTAGCTCTCTGTTAGAGAGAGGATTGATGAACATTTGCTAAAGCATGATGCAGAAGCTTTACCCAGGCCCACCGTGATAGGAGTAGGAGCCGTGCTGGGGTCTGGTAATGGGGAGACAAGGGGCTTCTCTGAATCCCACATGGGCAGGTGGGAACTTAGAGCCAGGGAGCAGCCTGGCGTGTGTGTGTGTGTGTGCGTGTGTGTGTGCATGTGTGTGTGTGTGTGTGTGTGTGTGCATGTGTGTGGTGAGGGGGCCCTAGGGTAGAAAATTACTCAAAGGGAATTTCAGGATTAAGGGGTTTCTGACTAAACTGGACCAACAGGGACATTGCCGCGGCAAGCCATGGACTAGGACGTCACCTGAGACGGTCGGGGGGAGCCTGGTCACATGTTGAGGACAATCAGGAATCCAGGGTGGGCTTCTGGCTAAATGGAGTTAGCAGGTTTCTTTCCTAGAGTTGGGTTTCCGAGTGCACGGGCCCCCAAGAAGGCTCAAGGAGCTGGCTAAAGTTTGGCTAATCAGCGATGCCTTGTCAGTCCTGCACCTGCTACTGCCCAGGTGGGGGAGGGGCCTGTTCTGATCACTCCTTGTGGCCCTACTGTGCATCCACAGGACCCCCAAGACCACGGTTAGGCCCCAGCTCCTGTACAGGCCTAGCACCCTCAGGGCCCAAGGGATAAAGAGGGACTTAATGGGGCTGCAGTTTCCACAGCTCTGTGGTCCCTGTACTCAGTAGGTGCCCAGTGAAGGCTGGCAGATTAGGAGGAGAGGGAGGCTGCCCCAGCTTGGCTTCCAGCCTGCTACTTCCCCTCAGGGGACACCTTTCTGCCCCAACTGCTGCCTGAGGTATCAGCCATGTCTGGGGTCGAGCGTGATCAGCGGCCGGCCCTTCTGAATTGCCTCCTCACCCCTATGTTTGTGCTGCAGGGTGACCACTGCATCATGGGCCAGCAGAGAAGCTTCCGGAAGAGGAAGTCCACGTCCTGGTGTGTTAAGGGGAGGAGCTTCACGTCAGCACTCACATCTCGTGTGTGTGAGTGCCGGGACTCAGACTTCCTCTGGTGAGCATCCAGTTCTTTGACCCATGGATCTCCTGTGGCTGCTTGAGCATCCTCACAACATGGCAGCCAGCTTCCCCCTGCAGCCAGGAGGGGGCCACAATGCCTGAGACCAATCATAGCCTGGTCTCAGGGTCATATACTGTCACTCCCTCTTATTCTGTCTGTTAGAAGCAGGTCAATAAGGAGACCAGCAGTTGGCATAATGGCTATATCGCTGGACTCACATGCAGTTGACCACGGTTCGAGTCCCGGACCCGGTGGCTTAAACTCACGCTGGACGCGTGTGCATGCGTGCCCAAGATCCCAAGAGGAGAAAGAAGAAGGGATTGTGGCATGGCCATCCCCCTAGGGGATGATTTCTTGCTTGCAGTCTCTCTCTCTCTGTCTTTCTGGAGAGCGCACGTGCCCTATAGCAAAAACCTCTCAAATAAAAAAAGAAAAGAAGCAGGTCAATAAGTCCAGCCCACACTCAAGCAAGGAGGGTTAAAGGATTCGTGGGTGTATTTTTTTCCTTTAAGATTTTTCACCATAGGGCAAAACCTGTGCTTGCCATGTGTTTGCCAGAGAGAGACAGAGACAGAGACAGAGAGAAGAAAAGCGAGAAGTCACTGCCTGGGGGGATGGCCAGGCTGCATTCCTCTCCCCGTTTCTCCTCTCAGGGCTCTGGGCATACACAAACACGCCCATTGTAGTTTTCAAGCCGCTGGGTCCGGGACTCCAACACAGTTGGTCATGTGAGAGTCCGTTGCCTTGTGGATTAGCTTCTGTGTCCCAGAAAACAGGTGCACAGCAGGCCCTTGGCATGAGGGTCCCCGCCCAGCCCCCCAGACTTCACCTCTGACACCCAGCTGTGCCTGTCACCTGGCCCCTGTTCTTTCCTTCCCTAGTGACTACGGGTTTGAGCGCACGTCCTCAGAGTCTGCTGCCGGCAAGTGCTCCGCCAACTTCTGGTACAACCCGCTGTCCCCTCCCGACGACTGTGCGCTGGGCCAGACCTACACCAGCAGCCTCGGGTGAGTGTGCGCCCGGCCATCCCCTACAACTCCAGGGCAGAGCCCTGGGCCTCCCAAAAGCTGTCTTCCTGGCTGCGCCTGCAGCTCCCGAGTGGAGTCAGGAAGAGGAGTCAGGCTGAGGGTGTGCTGTGCTCGTGAGCGTGGAGCCTGAATCCAGGACTCACGTGTGCCACCCGTCACTGACACGTGAACACACCTCCCAGGCCAAAGGAGGCCACGGTCTCCCCGCTGGGCTCATGTGGGCCAGCACCAGGGGACAGCGGCCTCAGTCGGCTCTGAACAGAAAAGGTGCAAGTTGCCCACAGCCCAGACCGGCTGCAGGTGCTGTGCTCACCCCGAGAAGCAGTTCCCCCCACCCTGGTCCTTCAAGCTGCCCCATCTACTGACACTTAGTGAGCCAGGCTCTTAGCTGGAGGCGTTCATGCTGCCTGGAGGTCTCAGCTTAAATGGCACTTCCTCCAGGTAGCCTTCCTTGACCACCCACCCCTGGCCCCGGGCTTATTGATGTTATTGTCATCACTCAGCTAATTGTCCTCCCTGCTGGACTGTAAGCCTCACAACACGCAGGTGTCCCTTCAGTCTGCTGTGGGATGAACGCAGCTATGCATGGGGGCTGGTGCTCAGCGGGTGTGAGCACGCGTGGTACTGTTCCTCCACCGCAGCTGAGCACACAGTTTATAAAGGATTAGCTTCGTAAAAAGGTTAGGGGTAGGACCAGCAGATGGCATAATGGTTATGCTGCTCGATTCTGATGGCCGCCCACGGTTTGAGTCCCGGGCCCAGAGGCTTGAAACTCACACCGGGCACGTGTGTGTGCCCAAAATTCTGAGAGGAGAATGAAGGAGAAGGGATTGCGATATAGCCTTTCCCCATGGAGGGTGATTTCTCGCTGTCTCTCTTCCTACCTGTCTCTGTCTCTCCTGTGAACACACATACCCTATAGTAAAAATCTGAAGGAAAAAAAAGTGAGTGGCGTGAATGCTGTGAGCCTCAGCTTCAGGAGGCCCCAGACGTGCTCCACCTGAAGGTCCCCACCCCCAGTTCTCAGGGAGAGCTCTCAGAGGGGGAGAGAAAAGCCTTCAGGCTTATTGGAAAGCCCCCACTGCTTCCCCTGGGGCGCTGAGGAAACTGGGTCAGAAGCTGAGCGCTCCGCTGGGTGACAAGCCGAGTTGTCCACACTCCATCCTTCCATCGCCCATCTGTCACCACCTCACCGTCAGCCGTCTCCCCGGGTACCAATCCCTCTATCTAGCCAGGTATCCAGCACCCACCCATCGTTCCGTCCCCCACCCCGCACCGGGCAGCCACAGCAGCCTCTCCAGCACACCCCCAGGGTCTGGCGGGCAGAGGCTCCCACCTGACGTTTCAGAGCTGCGGCCTCAGAGCAGAGGGCTCGCACCATCATCATAGCAGCGCCCTGCGGGGCTCAGGGCGGAGGCGGGTTGCTCTGAAGAACAGCATTTTCTTTCAAGCCACTATCAAATAGATCCTCGCAGGACAGACTTCCGAGTGTGCACTCAGTGTCTGAACCTCGGGGAAATCAGCCCTGAGGACAAGAAGAGGCACCGGCGCTGGGGAGCATTTTGGTGGCGACGCTGGGCTCACAGACTGATGCTCAGTGCGCCTGGGACCTTCACTGGTGCCGCGCTGCCCAGCTGTGGTCGCCCAGGGCACCCAGGGCTCCCAGGGCTCTGCTCCAAGGCCCGTCTGGCCTCATCCCAAGCCTGCTCCCTCTCTGGGCTCCTCCTACCCACCACAGGGCATTCACAGGTCTCCCCACGACTGGGGTGCTCTTCCTTCTCCTGCGTCACCCTGCCCAGCACCGTCCCAGTCGTGCTTTTCCATGGGTGGGATTTGACCGGGAAGGCACTGCGCACACCATAGTCCAGGACCTGGAGCGTAACAGGTGTTAGCGAATGTGAGCTGTGGGACGGGGTCCATGGGTGGGGTGCCATCTGGGCCAGGGATGCGGAGCTTTGGGACGAGAGATATCGCTTGCCCACAGCTGCATTGTGAGTCGCAGGCAGGGCAGGGTGGACCCAAGTCCCTCCTGGGCACTGTGTTCTCTGCGTTTCCCAGAGATTCCACAGGTTTCAGGCCGGCTCCTTAAATCAGTCCCTCAGCAGCAGCAACAACAGCTATTGCTATTGTAAGTAATACGAGCAGACCGAAGATGTGCCTGCTGACTGAAGCAGGTCCTGCTGTTACCAGTCTTCCCTGCTCTGAGCCTCGGTTTTCTCCTCTTGGAAACGGAACAGTAACAGCAATGAGGAGGAGACAGGAGGAGGGTGCACGTGGGTGACGGGAGCCTTGGGGGTCAGAAGCTGAAGTCCCCTCACCCGGGTGACAAGCACACTGCTGCCCAGACAGCTGAGCCCTTTCCCCCACCTGTCCGATCTGATCCTGACCGCTCTCATCTATCCAGGTACCGGAAGGTGGTGTCCAACGTGTGTGAAGGCGGTGTGGACCTGCGGCAGAGCCCAGTGCAGCTCCAGTGTCCCCTGACGCCTCCCCGGGGCCTGCAGATCAGCATCCAGGGCGAGGCGGTGGCCGTGCGTCCTGGGGAGGACGTCCTGTTTGTGGTGCGGCAGGAGCAGGTGAGTGGGCGCCTCCCCGGCTCAGATGTTGTCCCACAGGGCAGCACGCACTGGCCAGATGTGCACAGGTGCACAGGTGTCTTCTGTGCCCAGAAGTGGTTTAGAGCATGGCCATTGAGAACAGCCCGTTCCAAACTGCGGGAGGGGACGGTGAGCCAGACCAGCCTTTAAACGGGAGGCAGAGCAGACGCGAGGAGGGGAGAATGTAAGGGAGGGTATCCGAGTACGGCAGGGCAAAGGCAGGGTCAGACATGGAGGGCTGCATGTACATGTGTGTGTACTGGACTGGGGCCTGTTGATTACCGTCATGGCCGTACAGGTTTTTCAATTTTTGTTTGTGTGTTTGTTAGAAGGTATGATAGCCAGGGAGAGAGCGAACGGAGCGAGCATCCCCCAATGGGACATGGTCACACTGCAATTTTGTCCCTCAAGGAGTTTCATATAGCACTGTCCCTTTGACAGTGCCTCGACCACTGTGGTCCCTCAGAAGTATGAACAAAAGTTAAAAGAACAAAATTCTTTTAACTCCTTATCTTAGGGCTCTTCCATGTGCTCTTTCTTCTTCCTGGAACATGTTCTCTGTCATAATTTTGAACTACACATATTGTTCTAGATGTCTCCAGCGGATGTCAACAGGCAACATCATTTATGTCCAGTGTATGCTCAGTTTCTCTTCTTCATTGATTTTCCTTTACACCTTGTTTGCTCTGTGAGAACAATGCAGAATCTGAAGCCAACCAAGGAAACAGAAACGTACCAATACTTCTAGTACAAGAGTCCATGTGACCTTTAAGAAGAGTCCAACTCAACTGGCTGAAAAGTTCTCTGTGGGAAAAGCATTTTCTCAAGGTCAGAAGAACCTGCAGGTTGTTTTTACTTGGCTGGGCTGGTGATGCTTCATCAAAGAGGTGATTCTTCGTCTTGGGGATGAGTAAGCATTCATCAGCAGACAAGTGGGACGAAAGTGCAACCTCAGCAGAGGGAGCAGAAGAGATGAAAATATAAAAGGAAGAAACAATTTGGTATAAAAATATTGATGACATTTGTCAAGATAAGGAAAACAGACGGAGGAGGAAGTTTTCAGAGAAAGATGAACCTGTTGGATTTGGCTGATCTGGGACTGCATGGTGGAGATAGATGGAGAATGAGTGATTGGGTGTGTGAAGAAGGATATGAGCTTGATCTATCAAAGGCAGGAAAGCTCCCCGGGGCCTGCAGATCAGCATCCAGGGCGAGGCGGTGGCCGTGCGTCCTGGGGAGGACGTCCTGTTTGTGGTGCGGCAGGAGCAGGTGAGTGGGCGCCTCCCCGGCTCAGATGTTGTCCCACAGGGCAGCACGCACTGGCCAGATGTGCACAGGTGCACAGGTGTCTTCTGTGCCCAGAAGTGGTTTAGAGCATGGCCATTGAGAACAGCCCGTTCCAAACTGCGGGAGGGGACGGTGAGCCAGACCAGCCTTTAAACGGGAGGCAGAGCAGACGCGAGGAGGGGAGAATGTAAGGGAGGGTATCCGAGTACGGCAGGGCAAAGGCAGGGTCAGACATGGAGGGCTGCATGTACATGTGTGTGTACTGGACTGGGGCCTGTTGATTACCGTCATGGCCGTACAGGTTTTTCAATTTTTGTTTGTTTGTGTGTTTGTTAGAAGGTATGTTAGCCAGGGAGAGAGCGAACGGAGCGAGCATCCCCCAATGGGACATGGTCACACTGCAATTTTGTTGCTTCCATTTCTCCATCCCGTCAGGATCTGAGGCATGTCTACACACATGCTGACATATTTTTCAAGCTGCTAGGGCTGGGAATCGAACCATGGTCTGCCGTGTGGAATCCAGCCTTCTGTGTGCAGTGCTTAATTGCTGCATTATGGGGCTGGCCAGCTCTGACAGTTGTTTAAACCTCTAATTCTTGATTTAGTCAATTTGGAATCTTAAGAAAAGCAGAAAGTTGAAAAAGAAAAAAAAAAAACCCTGTAACTTAAAAAAAACACAACGATATATATAAAATTTCTTCTTAATCTCCTTTACTTTAGAACAAGTGTTACATTTTCTTCTGATTTTAAAAATCATGTATGTCCATTGTAGAGTGTTCAAAAAGCACATAAAAATATCAAGAACGTAAAGATCACCAAAACGTCTACTCTCCTATGGTAATAACCTAATTGTTGTATTTTATTGTAGTCTTTTCATTTATTCACTTTTCATTGTTTGTTTTTTGTTATAGAGCACGTGTGCTCGCCAAAGAGACGGGGAAAATGAGAAATCGCTCCCTAGCGGGGGATGGCCGCACTGCAATCCCTTCTCCTCCATTCTCCTCCCAGAATTTTGGGCACAAGTGTACACGTGCCTGGCATGTCCGGTACTCAAACTGCTCAGTTAGCTATGTGGGGTCCAGCGCCTTAACCATGACGCCACCTGCTGGCCCATCCTTGTAGTCTTTAAATTAATTTGTAGCATACTATATTTCTGACTGTAGAAGTAACTAATGCTTTGTAGAAAATTCAAAAACAAAAATTTTAAAAGCACACAAGAAATTCAAAACTCCAGAAAAGTACGAAGGAGAATAGACTCGCCCGTGTCCTCCTGGAGAGCGCTCAGCCGAGATTCTGGGCCGTGCCCTGGGTGTGCAGGTCTGCTGGGCATCTTTGGTTAACAAATATGGGGAATGGAGCAAGCACGGCTTCATAATTATGTGCATTTTACATAAATAGCCTTCAAAATATGCTGCCAAGGTGGGGCGGGGTAATGATGACCACAGTCCTTGGCGTGGAAAAGCAGGGACTCTGGATGGTACCAACAGGGAAACTGAGGCTGAAAGGGAGGCCGAGCTCTGCATGCCAGGCACACTCTGCATAAGCCACTCCCTCTCATGGTGTCCTCTTGCTGGCTGCTTGGCTGGGAAGCTGAGGCTCACACAGGGACGTCACTTTCCCAAGGCCACAGAGTAACAAGTGGAAGCTGGAGTCGCTTCCAGGCCTTGGACCCCATGGACAGACCCCCAGGTCTGAACTGTCCTGAGTGCAGATCAGATCCCACCCCCACCCCACCCCTGGTCCTCTCATTGAGTCTGGCCCTGAGATTCATGCTTTGAGCCTTGCAGAGAGCCCTGGAGCAGGGGTAGGGCACCTCTGTTCACAGCAGTATCTTGGGGTGGCAGGAAGACAAAGCCCCCTGCCTGGCTTAGGGCCACCCCGGACCCTCAGAGTGGAGCCCTCTGATTCCTGAGTTTCAGGGCAGACTTCCAGGAAAAATGGCCATCTGCTGCCCCCTAGAGCCTGGAATCGGAGCAAGTCCACCACATGCAGGTTCGCCAAGCTGAAGCCAAGGTGGGACAGGTCCTCAGCCCGAAGCTCCTCTTTCCCACCTGCCCAGTGTGTTGTGACCCTTGCAGGGCTAGGCTGCAGGCATGGGGCCGAGCTGGCAGAGGTGAGGGAGCCTCAAAAGGATGATCTTGGAAGAGAAAGGGTTCCAGGTGCTCCCACTGTCTGGGGGAAGGGTGTGGGGCTAGGGGTGGATGCACATGCTCAGTCGTGCTTCCGCGCTAACACACATCACACACTGATGCTTGCACACTCACATGCACGCACTTGCCAACACATCCACACACACCCACCCTCACACATAAGCCAAGCTAGGCTTGAAAATAGCGCTGGAATCAGAGGAGCCCCCTTTCGTGAATATCTAAGAACTTTAAACAGATCTGAAAGAGGACCCAGAGGTAGACTTACATAAAAGGCCCAGCTGATCCCTGACACCAGCACAGAGCAACATGGGGGAGAAAGAGCAGCCTTTCCGCCCAGTGAGGACGAGCCTCGCCCTCCCCTCGCTCCAGATAGAAAGTTAGCCCCAAGTGGATGGCAGACTTAAATGTAAAACTCTAAAACTTTCAGAATGCCTAGGAGAAGGTATTTGGGATCTAGAGCAAGGAAAGAGTCTTTAGATTTTGACACCAAGAGCACAATCCATAAAAGGAAAATATGATGAATTGGGCTTCATCAAAATTAGACGCTTTTGCTCAGCGGAAGACCTTGTTAAGAAGATGAAAAGGCAGGCTACGGCGTGGGAGGAAACGCTCGCGAGCAGAAGCCAGCAAAGCCTGTACCTGGGCTATGTAAAGCGCTCACAGAATTCAACAGCAAGAAAGCAAGCCGTCGGTTAGGAAATGGACAAAGGCCTGGAGACACATTTCACGGAGAAGAATATACAGATGGCAAATCTGCACCATTAGCCATCAGGGAAATGCAAATTAAAATTGCAATTAGAAATCATTATCCGCCTATCAGAATAGCTAAAATAAAACCCGACAACCCCGAACGATGGCGGGGATATGGAGAAGCTGATCATACATGCTGGCGAGAATGGGAAGTGGGACAGCCGCTCTGAAAACAGTGTGGCAGTTTAAGAAACTAAGCGTGCAATTAGCACACAACCCAAAAATTGCACTCATGGGCATTTATACCCGGGAAATGAAGGCGTGTTCATGCAAAAACTCGTGCATGCATATTCAGAGCAGCTTTGTTCACCAAAGCCAGAAACGGCAAACAATCCAGGTGGACGCCTCCCAGGGCAAAAGGTGAAGCAAACGGTAGTACACCCATCTATGGGCACTGCCCCCCAAAACCAGAATGGGTTACTGACGTAGCTGACAACCAGGAGGAATCGCAGCTGAGTCACGCCAGATTTTTAAAAAGGCCATTCCGAATGATTCCGTGCCGTTTGGTTCCGCTTATAGAACACTCTTGAAATGATGGAGTAGTAGAAGTAGAGACCAGGTCAGTGGTTGCCACACAGTCAGAGGCTGATGGGGGGGGGGGGGTAGGCGTGGGTGTCCAAGGCAACAGGAGGACCTTGCTCTGTGTCGTGACTGTGTCGTCAGTTTGCAAGATGTTAGCCGTGGGGGGCCTGGTCAAGGGCATGTAGAAGGTCTTTGTGCTCACTTACAGTTACATAGGAATCTGTCATTTTACAATAAACTTCCACTTTTTTTTTTTTTTTTAAGTTTTTGCCATATGGCGCATGTCCTTACTAGAGAGAGACAAAGCAAGACAGTGAGCAATCACTCCCCCCGGGAATGGCCATGCTGCGATCCCTTCTCCTCCATTCTCCTTCTGGGATTTTGGGCACGCACATGCACCCAGCAATCTTCAAGCTACCAGGCCTGGGACTCGAACCGTGGGTGGGCGTGTGGGAGTCCAGTGCCTTATGACCACACCACCTGCTGGCCTCACTGTTTAACTTTTTACAAAGTACTCAATAGTAAAAATAGATCTGAATGAACTAGATCAAGGTGTTAGTGGTGGGTATTATGATGAATATTTTTTTTAATTTTTATTTTCTTTTCCTTGGTTTTGTCATGTCCCCCCACCTACATTGAGGGATATGCTACTTTTGTGATTTGGAAAAGGATGACTATTTATTTTAGTCCAAGTGAAATATTTAAGCAGCTAAGCATGCATCAATATAACCCCTTGTAGTAAAGAGCACAAGATCCTCAGAGCCATGGCCCCTCGCCAAGGTGGCCAAACCACTGACCCTGACTCCGGGTCAGAAGTGACCGTTTCTTGGGACGCAGTGCAGAAAATCCGCCCCCCACCTCCACAGGAGCAAGCAGACTTGAGACCCTCCCTCCTTCTTCCACCTAATCCCATGGGGCAGCCTTTAAATAGAGGGCGATGGATGGTAAGCCGGCCTCCGAGTTCCGGACTTGAGAGCCCGTCCTTCAACCCGTGGAATAGAATACTGGAATACCATATGTGCTAGGCCCCTGGAGATGCCATGACCAAGGGCCACTGGGTGGCCTAAAACAGCACAGCGGCTTGAGAAAATAATTTATTTGACCTCTTCCAGCTTCTGGTGGCCTAGGAATTCCCTGGTGCCGGCATCACTCCCGGCTGCCTCCGTCACCCCACAGTCTCCAGTTTCCCCTCCGTCCTCCTACAGACCCGGTCACGGGATTTAGGGCTCATCCTAAGCCAGTATGACCGTGTTAACTAAGGACACCTGCGAAGGCTCCTTTTTCCAAATGAGCTCTCCTTCTGAGGCTCCTGGTGAATTCGCCTCATGAATTGGGGGTCGTTCTTCAGCCCACTACACATATTCGTGGGAAGTTAAGTGAGCATTATTAGGTCAAAGTATTCGCTCAGCTTTTAAGGTCTGGCAGGCGTAAACTGAGAAGATTGCTGAATGGTTATTGATAACCCTGGCTCACTCTTGACCATTAACAAATGGTTTTCTGGGTGTTCTCGGGGGAGGGGCGAGCACAGCAGGGAGAGGCAGGGAAGAGGGAGGGAGAGGGAAGGAGAGCCGAGGGACTGAGAGAAAAGAAGGGAGGTATTCATGAATGTAAGAACTCTTTCTTGCCATAAAGCTTAAAAAGTTATTTCCTTCCTCAATGTCCCCCAACTCTGGGGGGGTGGGGGGGAAACGCCATTGGGTGATGCCTGTGGCAGACATGCACAGGGTGCCAAGCAGCTCGTGTGGCGATAGAGCGCAGCTGGTGGGCGCTGCAGAGACCGCCTCGCTAGCTTCACCGCTGCTCCGCTCAGAATGAGCTGAGAGACTCCGGAAGCGCAGGTCACAGGAGGGAAAGTCGTGCTCCCTCCACTTTCTGCAGATGGTTCACAAGCTTTCGGACGGGTGCACCTTTCTAGCTGCATCACCAAAGCCCTGCCTTCTGGCCCTCCCACTTCACACCTGGCTCCGGCCTCAATGGGTCTCCCCAGGACCCCAGCCTACCTCCCTAACCACCCCCTCTGCCCTCGCCCTTCCAGAGGTGGGGTGACTGCCCTACAGTGCACTCCTGGCCGTGGCCCCTGGGTAAGTCCTGTGGCTGGCAGCCGTGGCCCCTGGGTAAGTCCTTTGGCTGCCATTGTCAGCCCTGCACTCTCGGGTTTCTGAGGAGAGAAGCAGGTTGGGTCTCCTGTGCATCTCCAGAGCACACTCCCTTTGAGGAGAGAAGTGAGGAAATGGACCCTGCTGACCACATGGATCCTGCTGCCCCTCAGCTTCAGGGTCCACTCCTGAGCAGCCTGTGGTGTTTCCCTGCAGGGTGATGTCCTGACCACCAAGTACCAGGTGGATCTTGGAGATGGCTTCAAAGCCATGTATGTGAACCTCACGCTGACTGGGGAGCCCATCCGGCATCGCTACGAGAGCCCCGGAGTCTACCGCGTGTCTGTCAGGGCAGAGAACATGGCAGGGCATGACGAGGCGGTGCTCTTTGTCCAGGTCAACTGTAAGTCCATTGTCCCTTTGAGACCAAATCACTTCCTGTCACAAAGAGAGCCTGGTCCTTGGGGAAGCACGTTGAGTCCTGCAGGGCTGCTGTACCCTCCATCCTCAGGATGGTGAGCCCAAGGACAGGGAGAAAGGCAGATTGAGCCCGAACCCACACCCCTGGTGATATGTACAGTAGTCGGGTGGTTGCTACTGCTAACGATGACAGAAATGGTGGTAATAATGGTGGTGATGATAGTGATGATGGTGGTGTTGCTGCTAGTGGTGATAGTGATGGTGGTAATGATAATGGTAATGGCGATGATGATGGTGGTGGTGGTGATGGTGGTGTTACTGCTAGTGGTGATAGCAATGGTGGTAATGATGATGGTAATGGTGGTGATGGTGGTGATGGTGGTGGTGATGATGGTGGTGATGGTAATGGTAACGATGGCAGTGGTGATGGCGGTGGTGACGATGGTGGTGATGATGATGGTGATGATGGTAATGGTAATGATGATGGCAGTGGTGATGATGGTGGTG